GTGTGTGTGTGTAGGAGGGAGGCTAATTTGATTTGATTCTCGACTGCACCATGTTTCTCTACTGGCTGCCTATTTATTTTAATTGCATAATTGGCTCATTCTGTGAGTGTGTATACGTGTGTATGTGTGTGTGTGTATGTGTGTGTATATGTGTGTGTGTGTGTGTGATCTATGCATTTATAACCTCACAGGGTCAAAAGGTCATTGAGGTCAAATCAAAGCCAAGCTATTATCAAACAAGTGTGTGTGTATTCTGAGTGCACCACCTGTGTGTGAAGATGCCTGTGTGTATAAATGTGTGACTATTTGTGTGCATCTACCTTCCTCAGTTATTTTTGATGGATTTGTATGCATCTTGTTGCCACGGAAACACAGGTTCCTTAATAACTGATGAACCTCACAGTTGGTCGAATCATTAAAAGTTGCACAAACTAAATACAGATTCAACCCGAATCTCCTCTTCTCTGTCTAAAAATACAGTTTCAATTGCTGACCCATTTTGTGTTAAGTGGTCTGGTAATTCCATCAGGAGCAACCATAATAAAAATAGAGACACTCAGGGTGCTGGAAGGTGCTCTGAATAAAACCGCTCATCATATGACAGGTATGGTGATGCTATAGTAGATGTGTATGAGCAGTGGGAGCTAAAGCATCAAAAATATAAGAATTGAATAGAAAAGTTATTCAGAACTAAAAACGTAAATCATGTTTCCAATGGGATGAAGAATTCCACAATTCCCAGAGCAATTTTCAAATCTTTCAAACAAACTTGAAGAGCCAACCTACAATTTTCACCTCACTCTTTGTGCTTGGGGAAAGTTTTCATTGATATTTGCTTTGGAGAGCAAGAGACACGCAGGACAAACGTGCAGCTTACACTCTTCAAACAAGTCTCTTTATATTACAGCCGCAGATAAACAGACTAAATGACTTGTTTAGACTGAGAATGTGGTTTTATACGAGGTACCGTACGGAGAATTATTACCTCAGTGTTATGTTTTCATACTTGTGTGTTATTTAGCAGGATAAGTCATAAACTACTGAACTTATTTCCATGAAATTTGGTTGAGGAGTGGATTATGAACCAGAGAATATCCCAATAATGGAGCAGATCCTTTACCATGGTGAGAGAGGGCGTGAACCTTGGCAGAGGTGTTTGCTCTTTCTTGTTCGTGTGTTAGTTTGTATACTCGTTGGCAGGATTACGTTTAAATTACACAATTAATCTCCACCGAATTGGGGCCTGGGTGTGAGAGGAACCTATTAAATGTTGGTGTGGATGCACCTTAACAGCAGGATTTGTTTTCTTTCTCATTGCACATTGCAACATGGGACATTTTTCGATTCCATGCAATCATGTGTATCTGAACCTTGGCGGAGAAATGAATCGGTGTATTTCTGTGGAAGTAGCAATACTTGTGGTAGAAACAGTGGTTGCAAACATATACACAATTTGTAGAAACATAATGGAGGTAATATTTGAAATGAAAAAAAATTAATAATATGCAGACTGGAGGGGATCGATCCACTTACCTTCTGGTTTGTGGACAACCCTCTCTAAGCCACAGCTGCACAGCAGAAAAAGTCCACACACAAAAACACAACCAGACACACATACTGTACATGCAGGACTGATGTTTAACTGCAGAAAAGACAGATACTGAGGTTTAACTTTGGAATACACAAACACACACCTGTCGGACCGGCCCTCTCAAACTATACCAGAGACGAACTGCACAACTGAAGGGAGACATTAGAGGAAAGTAAATGAGGGGGAAAAGCAGCGCAAAGTTTAAGACGTCTGAAAGTTTTCCCCTCACAGCACTGTTCACTCCACCCTCCTCCTCCCGTCATCACCTCCATCCACGCTCGTTTATCTCTCCCTCCTTATATGTCTCCCTCCCTCTTTCCCTCTGTCTTTATCAGAGAAACAGAATCAGGGTAGAGTAAGCCTGGAGGAAAATCTATTTAGATCAGCTATTTTGTAATTCTGCAGCAAAAATGTCCTCAGTTGTTCCCTAAAGGAATATATCAGGGCCCCAGCGGCTCATTTTTTATTACATACACAGTGTATTTCCATTAGGAAACGGGAAAAAAAAATAGGCTATACATGATTTGGCTTGTGACTGTGTATTTAGAGAATATTCTTTACTATGCTTGTGTTCTTACATGTATATTTACTTTGGCTGTCACAACACATCCAGGTTCAGGGGCTTTTTTTTCCACAGAAGCTATTTTTAACTCACATCACATTTCAGGTGTGAAACTTAAAGCAGAAGACGAAGCAGAACCGAGCATCTCGCAAATATAGATTAAACAACAAAAGATGAACACAAACAGTAAGTATGTCTGAAGTCTAGAGCGAAACAGAGGCTGTAAAACATTTCAAATCAATTTTATTTGGATAGTGCAAAGTCATAAAGAATGCCCAATAAATTAAAAACATAATGACGATTATTCCTAAAATGTCATTCTCAAACCCTCGTGACATAAAATGTATTTGAAGATATTTAAAACTTTAACCATAAACTTTATTACAAATAGCTATAAATAAAAAGCTTCCTTTTAAAGGGTAGATTTTTTTATTTCTATAACTTTTCACTCCAGCCACTACAGCCTCAAGTCAATCTGCTCCACCTCCGGGTCTCTTCCCTTTACAGAAGCACACACATGTACACACGGCCCTACATGCACAGTAACCAGGATACAGCCAGAGGGACAGTCCATCATTTGATTTAGACAAAGTGTTATTAAAACCCACTTAGTCCTGGCTGTAAGAGCTACAAGCTATGGAAACTATGCAGTCTGCCACAGGCTGAAAACGACAGCCCGGCCGACATCTGCTTCAAATCTGACCAAAAACAGCCGAGTGAGAGAGAGAGAGAGAGAGACGCTGAGATTTAGGCGACGGTTGCTAAGACGGCATCGTTCACATTCATTCATCATGACAGTGCACTTTGTTTCATGTCATTACAACCCTCCTACTATCTCAAAAACATCCGAACATTTCCAAACAAGCTCTGAGAGCAAACTAACAACTGATGTCTACCAGACTGAACTAGTATACTAGTACTTCTGGTTTCCCCTGCTGTACTAACTCCCTGCACTCTGATTGGTTGAGGTTGACAGCGATTTGACAAGACATTTAACCTGCTGGAGATCTACTCGACTAAGGTGACATTTCAGCGAGCCTCTGAAATCATGTCTTTGACGAAAAAAGTTGTTGGCTCGTGGAAATAAAACTACCCTCCAAAGCACAAAATGAAAAATAAAAACCCATTCTTGGTGTCGGGGGAAGTTCAAAAGCTGTGAAAAGGTGGCGAACGGACAATTAAATATAAGTATATTTAAAATAATTAAAAATAATGAAATCCAAGCTACAACAAAAGGACCATACCTTGAAATAATTATTCTACAATCCTTAAACCAATGTTGATTGAATACTTAATATTTGAAAACGAACACGTGGCCCCAACTGTGAAACAGGTCCACTGCTGAGAAGCTGTGACGTTTACAGTCTGCTCACAGGCAACCATGAGAAGGCCTTACAGCAAACAGGCATTTGTGTTGACATTGTGAACACGCCCACCCCGACAGCTGTGCGATAGGAAGAGAATAGGAGAGACGACCAGTAGCACACCTTACTGTGCATTTTACGGTCAAAACAATCATCAGCGCACAAATTAGTGGTGCACCTCACAGAGCGTTTACTGAAAAACAGCAATTTCACCTCCCAGAGTGAAAATATTTGCTGCATAGGGATCATTCTCAGGTCTACATACTGTACGTGTACATACATGTCAATATACGCTAAAAACACCCAGAGCTTTTAAATACAATGAAAACACAAATTTTAAAACAAAATCGCACAAGGGAAAATCCATAGATAGATAGACATGTGAGAGTAGAGAGTGCAGATGGTCTCCGAACTTGACATCTACTGTTAACAAGCTTAAATCAACCACCCTAATAAAGCTATGATAGCTTAATATGCAACAAAGCTTTGTAATGAAAGAAATATGAGCATTTACTATTAACAGCAATAACAGATTTACAGAACAAGAGAGGACTCTGGAAAAAAAATGGGATTGGTTTGGAGCCAAAGTGTTCAGCATTGTACAAACATTTGGCTGATAGCTGGAGCTAATTCCCCACATTGTGAGTGGGTCAGGATAAGAGAACAACAGCCGGCTGTGAGCGAAAATCACCACAGAGGCCTCCTGAAATGTGCTCGTATAGCAATCATGAACCTTTCCATCAGATAATAAGGTCGCTCTGTTAGGCTGAGACGAGCTTTAAACTGTGGCTGTGCCAGTGCACAGCAGGGATCCTTAAACAGAGTTTCAAGTCCTTTTCACAGAGGAAAGACAACAAAAAAGCCTCCGTAAGTGGTTGTTGGATGTCACCTAAGAGGGCAACTGGGATTTTTTTATTAAAAAGCCTTTGTGCAGTCAAATTGAGTTGACCAGATAGGCCCCCCCTCTCCGTGTTGCCCAGTTTTCCTACTGCTCATTTGTTTAAGTTGTTTGTTTGTATATGTTTCCAGCAACCAGCTCCTCTCGCTGACAATCCTGCTACTTAACATTCTAACCACATACCATCTAAAAAAAAAATAACCCAGTTTCCCAACTTCTTGGCAAATCCATTTTGCTGACTGTACAGTGCAGCATGTACAAAACAATGAACCTGGACGACTAAATCAGCAGCTTAAAGGAATCCAAAGCAAAGAGGAATGAACAGAGTGATGTAGATAAGAGAAGTGAATGAATGAGTCAAAATAGAAAATAGAGAAAAGTAAAAAACAAAAAACAGAGGGAGTGGGGAATTGTTCTTTTCGTCCCCAGTGGGCAGTCCGCTTGATGTGACCACCACATCTCACTCACACCCTCTCTTTTTCAAATCATCGGCAAAAACATTTACAACACCGCACCGACACAGAGCGTGAAAATAAGAACAATATCTGCAAGAGTATTTAAATTCAAAGGGATATTGTTACTCACAAGATCTCGTCGTTCTGAAATTCCAAGATGCCATGAGAGTCCTCGAAGTCCTCTCCACTGCCTCGTGCTGTTCCCTCCACCGTCTTGTACGGCAGCATGACCACGCCGCGAGCCCCCGACGTTCTCAGCACCTTCACCTCCATGGTGCCGACACTCTCGCTCACATGGCATACAGGCTCCTCAAATGTAAAGATACCGGCGTGGTCGTCATCAAAGATGGTGACGGTCGCTGTGGCGGGTAAGCCGAGACAGGCCACCGAGTCCATGTGATTAGCTGACTCGCCGTCTTCGGGCTCCTCGCCTTCAGATGTCAACACCTTGACGTTGGACAGGTGAATCAGGAAGTTTTCATCCTCCTCAAAGATGTCATCATCAATGATCCCCACACGGATCTCTTTCAGCGTCTCACCGGACTTGAACACCACTACACCCTCTGTGAACTCGTAGTCCGAGCCAGCGTTGGCCGTCCCGTCTTCTGTCCGGTACTCCACAGAAATCGTTTTGCCCAGGTCGCCACCACGCCGCACCACGTTGACAGCCACAGTGCCACAGTTCTCGAGGCACTGGTAGGAACCGGGCTCAAAGAAGATCTTAGAGATGGGGTCGTTATCACCAACATCAGAGCGAACCTCGTGCATGCTGACAGCCTTTCGTGCCTGATCGGCTGCATGTTTCTTCAGGATGTTGCCAGCACCTGTCATCAGCCGAGTGGCCTGGCAGCGATAGAAAGCGCGACTCTTCTGCTGCTGGCTCAGGACTTGGTAGTTGGCAAGCTCAATAAGTTGTTCCACCTGGGATGAGACAACATAATAGCATACAAACGGTAAAAAATATGTTCTCCTGCACGATTCCTGAATGTAGTACACCATCGTCTATGGGGAAAAATATGATGCATTGTTGAACATTGTGCTCGACTCCCTGACTTACAGTTTCATCTGATTTGTGATCTTATGAGTCATGCTGTTACAACGCGTCAGGCACTGAGAAATTTCTATCAACAGCATCTGTGATTTTGTTACATAGAGGAATATGCATCAGATTATCTGAGGCTTTGTGAGATCTTACACAACCGTACATGATGTGCAAAATGAAACGAGCAACTCTAAAATTTTATTAGTCAAGCCGTCCTTCAATGAGAGGATCCAGATTCAAGACCACATTGCAGCAAACATCCATATTGTTTCGGTAGTCTTGGTTTGATCCTAGAGTTTCAAATGTTCCCGCTTTTCCCTTATTCCACAAGTCCCCCTCTCTAAACAGATTATTATTATTGGAGATCAGTGAACAGTTTTTATCCTAGTTAAACAAATGAACTTATCAAATCTTTTGGAACAAAGTTAGAGATGTTTGAAATCCTAAACCTCATGGGAAACGACAAACAAGACGGTAAAATGGTCTGGAAACAATTTGGAATTAAGTGTTTGCCAATAGTTAGAGCCTCTGCTCATGAAAATGCAGCTAAAATGAGAATATAACTTAATGATTTAACTCTACTCAAGCAATACTGTAGTCCCCATGTAGAAAAATAAAAAGCAGCATTTGACAACAGGTAAATCAGCCTCATTCTTAATCCATATATAGCGATGAGGGCAAAAAGCGTAAAAAGCTATTTTAGCAGGCTCTCTCATGCATGTAAGAAGCTTGTGGCTTCCATTACACGTCTCTGTGTCAAACCTTGTCCAAGAAAAAAAGGAACCGAGACTAGAACGAACCTCACCACCCAATTCTTCCATTCACATATTTGTGTCACTGCTGCTGCAGTTTCTTTTGCAGTTTTCTTTTTTTTTTTTAGCTGTACCATTATCAGATTAATCTGAGTGGCTGTGATGAGACCAGGAGCTGCATTCATCACCATAATCACCGTGATAAAGGCAGTAATAGAAAGTGTGCCATCTGTCGCTGATTATTTTGTCATTTTATTCCCCACACAAGAAAACAACCCTGGCAGGAGAAGCGGTGACAGCAGCGTCAGTATATTTTTCATGTCACGCTGCCATTGCACTTAATGTGAGGTTCCTCTGTCACTTTGCCACCCACCTCCTTGTCAGGGTGCTTCTGTTTGAGTTCCTTCAGGATCTTGGCCATGTCTCTGCGGGTCTCCTCCTCGTCCAGATCCTTCTCATCTAGATCCAAACCCAGCGGACCATCCAGGAAGTCGACACCGTGAGAGTTCAGCATCTTCCCATCCATCTCGATGTCCACCTTACGAGGAGAAAGAATAGTCATCAATACCATAGATTTTGATTCTTTGGAGGTAAAAACCAAGTGTTTCAGACAGAGGCTAAAAAAGAGGAGCTGCAGCAATGGGCAGTTTAAGAAAGTGTTTTCTGTGCATTTGAGCTCGTAAACCTTTTCAAGTACTAACCCAAATTAAAATAATGAATGTAATTATGATTATAATAATTTGCTTTGTTCCAAATAGCTGGGTCATTTATTATGAATCTATAATGAAGCATTAATATTGTATGATTCTAGATATTGAGAGGATTCAGCTGAGTTTAGGTCAAGAACTGCCAGAAATGTTTTACATTTTTTGCTGTGCGTAGGAATACGGGTCGATTAATTAATAATTAATTATGTTAAAATCGCATTTTTTTGTACCTCTCAAAATTAATAGCTTCTGCTATTCAAAGAAATCCTCTTTTAAGTAGACATGCACTTATGAAACATGTTTTCGAAGAAGGACGTCTTTTTTTAAGCTTCCAAATGATTAGCTCTTATTCCTCCGAGAAACTGTTGAGTGTCTCTGTGTGGATTCGGCTCTTCAGTGATCTTCATGCACTAATGGAGGAGTGGTCATTAATAATCTCATCTGACACAATGTTCGAAATTATACCAAGTGCGAAGAAGAAGAGTGTCTACGTTAAATAAGTGATGAATAAACACTACAATACCGACAATTTAATTAGATGTGTACACAGCAGTAGATATGGCAAAGCATCTGATAGCAATACAACAGGAAATTAAGTATTTCTTTGCATGTGTCTTTGCAGTATTATGCAGTTTACCTTGGCTGAATTCCATTCAGTAATGCAGATACATTACTCATCACTTACGTCCGCCTACACAGAGTGCCTGATCTGCTTTTTCTTCCACTCATGTTTGGATGAGGAGTGCTTAATTAATTTTACTGATCCCTAACTTTATGCCTTTGGAAAAGAGATTTGGCCGCATGACAGTTAAGGTTCTTTAGAGATATACTGACTAAGGAAGTTTTTGAAATCAAATTCGAATATCAGTATCATCTTAATAATTATCATCCTCAAGCGATCTCTGTTATGGATGACAAAATATTTGAAATATCTGTTAGATTCAGCTGAACTAAAATTTTATTAGTTCCTGAGGTAGAAGAAGATTTTATTGTTGGTCTAATATATTTAAAGTCATGATTTTTCAGGTACTCAACAGTTACCTGAGGGAAATTCAGGTATTTTAGGCATATATGATTTTGGTTGTTCTTTTGTACATTGCTTTGAATGACTATTAAAGAACAGTTTATGGTTTAATAACACTCAACTTTAACTTCAACAAATATTATGGTCAGTTTTTGTGGTAATGTGAAGTATACCTTGGAAGGAAGTGGACGATCGCCCTCGGTCTCAATGATCATCCCACGTTGCTTGCCAGTGCGGTAGCGCTTGTACACATACTTGTAGAAAAGCAGGCGACGGTCGGCCACCCAGGCAAAGACCACGCAGATGGGGAAGAACATGAACGTGAGCAACCCCTCCCACACCTGCACAACGCCAGGCGAGATCACACACAGGATCAGGTAGAGCCAAATGTAGGCGAAGATACTCCAGGTGGCCGTGACGAAGAAGACACGGAGGTGCTTGACCTTCCTCGTCTCACCGTCTGGCACGACATACACACAAAGCCCGATGATGACAAACATGTTGAATGCCGCAGAGCCCACGATGGTGGAGGGGCCCAGTGTGCCCGCCTGGAACCCATGACCCATGACCTCTATGACGGAAAGCAGGATCTCAGGAGCTGAAGAGCCCAGAGCCATGAGGGTGAGATTGGAGACTGTCTCGTTCCAAATTCGTACAGTAGTGGTGGTGGTTTCCCCGTTGGGTTTCTTGATGGTGATCTCCTTTTCCTGTGACGTGATGACCTCTATCGACGCCATGAAACGGTCAGCGATGATTGACACACCCAAGAACATGTAGACCAGGGCCACAAAGTAAACTGTTGCCCGAGCAACCTTGTCGCCAAACGATGGGTTCTGGGGCTCCCAAATAGGTAAGATCACCCCTTTTGCGCACGCCTCGGGCTTGGAGCACTCGGTTTTATTGGTGGACACTGCCAAAACGGAGCCGCCCAAGTTCGGCTCAGGGGGTGCGCCAGCCAACGAGAGGTGGAGTTCAAAGAGGAGAATCACGGTGACGACTGCTAGCCTCAGGGCAGGGGACATGAGGGAGGAGTGATCCCAGCGGCCCATGGTGACGTCCGGACCAGTACCGTAAGGTGGCGATTAATAAGGATCTTCAATCTTTAGAAAGAAGAGACAAGAGGAAACAATTCACATCAGACCATCGTAGACCTTAAAACAGTGACGTCTGTTGGAAAAGCGATTTTTAGTTTTGATTCTGTCCTATAGTTTTATTATACGTTTTCAAGCTTAATATCTCATGATGGATTCGAAAATTAGTATCACTTCTACAGCAAGCATGATGGGTAACCAACTCTCGTTTCCCTCCTCTCAAAAATGTTGCTTCTGTGTTGTATCAAAAAAGTTGATATAAGATGAGTGGTTTGCTTTAACCTCTCGTAAGCACTGAAAGGTCAAATCTGTTACGAAAAACATCGATGCAGACTTCTGAGCTCTGAGGTGAAGCAACACTCGAGTTTTTATCTAAAACCGCCCAATTCACTTTGTAGCATGAAGAACATAAAAGTCTCAACATCACCAAATCAGAGACGGTGTTGCATGTGTGTTGTCTTAAATCTGTAACCTGACTATCTAACTGACCAGTGGCAGAATTAAAACTTTGGCAACTGATCAATTAAAACAACCAATCATCACATCACTACAAAAAATTCAGAGTTGTGAATGATTTGATTTAATATTATCTTGAACTTGTGTCATCGATTATTCACTTTGTGATTTGAGTGCCTCAGCAGTTGTTTCGGGTCTTTTACTGTGGGTGTAGACGTTGCTCCGCTTTTTCATTTTCATTGTAAATTAGTGAAATCACAAACTCTTGGTTGTGTGCCAATATGTCTACTGTGAAAAAGAAATCAATAAGTCACTTATAAAAATGATTGAACAGCATCCAAGTGAAGTGAGGAAATTACGTGTATCAGAGAGTCCATGAAATGACTCACAAAACACTGAGATTTCATTCAGTTTCCATGTAATTGCTTCAGGGCAGCATTTGTTTGTATGAAAGACATAATTTGTTAAGAATAATTTTCAATCAAGTCAAAATACCTCTGTAGAGACGCTTTTCAGCCTAGTCACACCACAAACAACAAGCTATTTGCACTTTGTTGGGTAATCTAGATAATTATAATCCCTCAGAATGCAATTTGTAGTTATGATGCACCGAGTATTCACTTTTTTGTGTATTTAAAACTCCTTGCTGCATGTTAAGAGGTCTATGTGGTGGAGTGATAATCGTAATAATAAACTTTGCAAATGTATTGCCTGGTGATGAATGTGTACTATCCAGGTGACTGAGAACCATAGGGGTCAATGCAGCTAATAGCCTGAATCATGCAACACTGTGCTCTAAAAGTTATAAGCAGGAAATTGAAATCAATTGCTGAAATGCAGACGATGTCAAATGTGCACACTGTGGGTAGAATTTAAAAAGAGATGTGATGGAAGCAGATGTAGTGAAAAGGGTGCAGGCGATTCTGTGTTTTTGTGCAATGTTCGAAGACACATCCTCTCCTGAGGTTTTAGGGGATAAAAAGAAAATGCAAATACCCCTCTGAGTACTGACTCAGAATAACAGAGCATCCAGACACATTTTGAATGTGTATTCTCTGTGGAACTGATACGCTTAAAAGCATTGAGAGAATTGAGGGCTGTTTTTAACGCTATGTGGCTCAGCATAAAAGGTTCAGAATATTAGAATGTTGGAGCCAGACAGTTTCAAATAACACTGGATGTTATTATATTCATAGTTTTCATTGATAGGAAATATAAGTGGACCAATATTACAATCTAATAGTTGTTGAGACGATTCAATCATAATGAAAAATGTTAATGTTCTTTAGGATTCATCCTCTGGGGATCATGTAGTTGACAAAACAACTGAAAGCCAATAATGTCCACTTCATAGAGGTGAAGTTAAAAACATTTAACAAAGTCAAAACATCGTAGTCAGCCGGGATTTATCCTCTTGGGGCCATGAATTTCTCTACAAGACTTTATAGCAAACAAATATTTGTTGAGCCATTGACCTGACATTGCCTTTTCCATTGTGATATTGATTATCACCCGGTATCACCCGGTGGTAAATCAGTGAAATTGGAGCTCAGGATATTCTTGATTTTCAGAAGAGAAGCAGAGGAACGACTACTTCAACTCAAACACAGCTCTAGAGATTTGTTGGCACAGTTTGCAAATCTACAAGACAGAGCTGGTGTGGTCTGACACATTATCAGTGCAGTTTTCTTGTTTCTGTCAATATCTCTGCCTTAACAATTACCTTCTGATCTTTTTCTCAACAGAACCCACAGCAGGATCCTCGCTGCTTTTGACAACCACTGCAGTCTGACTTCATCTGAACCTTTCTGGCCAACACTCCTGATATTGACCTCCTCTTACTCACCCTCTCATCTGGATAGACAGTTACCCAGGACCTGTTTGGACGCCTGCTTTCCACATTTTTCCTTTCTGCTGTGTGCTCCCATTCCTTCAGTTTCATGTTTGTGTCCCTGGTTTGTTTCTCTGTGTGTGTGTCAGCTCAGTGTGGTATTCTGGCTCCTTCCTGCTTTTCCACCTGCGCATCTGTTCCTGATCAGCTCATTAACTCAGTGAGACTCAGTACAATCTTCACTTTCTGCAAGAACTTTAACCTTGGAATCTTGCTTTCTATTAATTATAATTACTTGTCTGCTTGTTTCTTATTTTCCGGTCCTGTACCCATCCTCGTACACTTGCATTACGCCAGCTCTGGATCTTGGCCTCAGTTTTTTTTTTTAGCTAGGCCTGAACCTTTCCCTCTCTCCAGCCATCCTGCCCACGGTCACAAACCAAACCCTCAAGAATTTACAATAGAATATCTCTTTCAACTTTAAAACTGATCCTGTGTCTGAATTCGACTGCTTGGTCTGGAGATTTATTACAACAAGAACAAACTTTAACAACTTTCTGGAACTTTCGGATAAAGCACTGCAACACACACAAATAGTAATCCTTTTAATCGAGGATCAATAACGGGACCCTAAGCCCTGAAACACAGATCGGCCTAAAACTCTCCACAGACATGCATCTTGCTCGATCCCTGCAAACCAACATCCGTTTCCCAATAATGAAATCTTCACACTCTTACATGCACACAGCACAATTTACCATACATCAATAGTTACATCAGTGCTTCCCTGCTTTTCTTTCCACCACAATGCTCATTATAGATGAAACTGTAAATTACCTAACGCTATGACACACTCTCTCTCTCACATCTCTCGGAGGCCAAGGGGGCCCTGACACTATTACAGCTACATGAGAAACACAAAATACATTTCCACTGGGGACCTAATCAATGTTTGACTGCTCTGTCAAGATATTACATAAAGTATGTGTGTGTCTTGCCTAATGTTGACAGCTACTTGCAAGCATGAATCAGATAGCGAGTAATGCTTAATCAGTCCACCAATGGGGGTTTAAACATTTGGGTTAAATAAACCGAGCGCTCAGTTGCTGCTGTGTTGATGTGGACTGAGTGGGCTCAGCTGTGGTGTGGAGCTTTTTGATCAGATGTTGAGAAAATCAGTTGCAAACAGAATTACACTTCTACTTAATTAAACTACAATTTAGGGAGCTGATAACCTAATATTGACCCTCTGGCAGAGGGAAGCCAGCAGCTCCTTCCTGTCTTCCACCTTCTTGTGTGGTCACACAAGGCTTTGTGTGGCATTTCCAAGTGATCAATAATTCAGCGTGCTTTGGGATTTGGTTGTTTTCACTTAGGGATGTCATTTTTCTACCGGGCTGATGGCTAAAGAGCATTCTCTGTGCGCCAGCTGTTCTCTATAAAACAGAGTGTTTTCTGCATAGCGTCTATACACCGGTGGATTCTACAGCTTGGGTCCATAAATATTAGACGATAGAAATTGTTGGAGTAGTATTTATAATTAGATGCGTTTGCGTACAAAAAGGCAGAAACCAACAATGAAGAGAATTGTTTATTGTTTTTAGGTTTGTACCACTTACATTGTTGAAGCATGTTCTAATTATATTTTTAAGATTTGGGTTTTCATTATGTTTTTTTGATGTTATACGTTTTTCGCCCCTGTTTCTCCACAGGATTACAGGAAAACAAATTATTTCTTGATGGAAAAAATCAGGTGCATGTAGATGACTGATATCCATGAGTGGCCCACTGTGACTGTGCTGCATGGCTTCAGAAGACGTCTTAAGGGTCTGTGAACATAGTATATCATGATTGTTGAACCTGAGCAGCAGGGTTACTGTTATCTTCCATCTGGTTTGTGGATTTAAGCAGAAATCCACAGCTTATGCTTTTCTCATTATCTATCTGTGGACTTGCCTGTGCAGGTTTTAAGATAAAGCACTGGTGTATAATTACAAATATGAACATATAATGTTACAGTTGCTAGTATGACACACGTCTCATTTAATAAGCCACAGCCAACACTCTAGTTTCCATTCTTTGCTCATTTTGTTCTTGCCAGCTCACTTAAAATTCATCCTCACGCACACAAATCCTCTATAAACTTTGCTGACACAATCCTGATTGCTTTACACTTTATCACTTTATCATGAGGCTACACTTTAGATGGCTCAAGATAATTACCTGTTCTGTTTAGAGCTGTGTGTTGTACAAGAGCAAACATCCTGTGGGAATGTCTGAATCAAGATCTCGCTCTCGTTAGAATCATTACTAGTCTGTTTGCCCTGAACGATACAAGAGCCAAACTCAAGGGTGTGTGTTTCTGTTTCTGCTGTTAACACTAGAGCGGCTTAGTGACTGAACAGTGGCAGCTAATTTTGATTTTTTTTTAATTGAGATATCAGGTGTCAGAGTATATCTCCATGAAATTCCTGGGCGTTACGACCTCAAAACTTGAATCAGCTTCAAGAGGAATACAACATATGACGAGCTTCAGCCAAAACACGGACTCACACAAAAACTGGACAGCTGAATCCTATACTCCCCCGAGGCCAAAACAAAAGCACGATACATAAAGTAAAGAAAACCCAGACCATGTGTTGCTCTAAGGCAAGCTGTTCTCTCTGCCCCAGTACTGTCAGTGCTCGGGAGCCTCTGCAGGCAGCACCCAAAGGTGCCAAGCAGGCAGCTGATTTGACCAAAGAGAGGAGGAGGAAGACACAACCCCACTTTCTGTATAAACCACAAATGTTTATCAGGGAATGAATCACGCATGGAAATTTGACATCATCATTACAATGATGTATTGGTAAAATCATTTGAAAAATAGATGCAGACCATGTGCCTGCCACTGAAAATAAACCTGTGTGCTGCAGAAAAGCACAAAGAAGAGCCTCGGCCTGCGGCTCCGAGAAGCAGCCTGAATTCCTCTTGCTACGGAGGAAGATGGGATGATAAAAAATTTAAAACAGTGAGTGAAAGAGAGACAAAGAAATGTGGTGAAGCAAATACAAAGGAAAAAAGAGACAGGAGGAGAGAGACGTAATGTAGGAAACAGAGTTGGATGTCTGGAGGAAGAAGAAATGAGAGAGCGAGACGAATAGAAAGAAAAAGGGAGAGTATGAGATGGGAGAGACAGGGCTGACAAATGGTACCCTCACCTTCTCTTATAAAGTCATGCTAAAGGGATATCCCACTGTGTGCACGTGTGCGTGTGTGTGTGAGGGCAGAACATTATATGCACACACACACTAGCCGCTGCAAACAACTGAAGATTAATGGTCTGCGTTTACTGTCATTAGAGTGATGCTGAGCTCTTTTAGCCTGGACGCACCTTGCAGCCAATCCTTGAGCGTGAATGTCTTGTCATATATGATTACACTTGGAGTGTCTCATCGCTCATTTTGTCTGTCTGTCCGTTGACATCATCTGTCAGTACGTCGGACCAGGACGTGACGGGGGACACGGACATGTGGAAAAAAAGCTATGGTGAGCTAAGGGAAGTCAACAAGCAAGACCAAAAAAAAACCCTGATTATTTACCATCCACAGAAGATGCAGCCACAGGCAAATAGCTGTGTATGTTTCCACCTCCTTCTAGGGGGTGGGTGATAAGATCTATAGAAACAGCACATGGGTAGAGATCTGCCATGACGTGCATTACACAGAGGATATGCTTCTTTTACAAGCTAACCTCTGTTCCATTAGATTTTCTCATAGAATGTTTCTTTTATTATTTTCTGAACATCTGAAATATGCTTCGTCTCCAGATTCTGAGTAAATGGGTATCTACCGTTGAGGTAACCTTCTACTTTTAGGATTCAGTGACAGCTTGCTTGTTTACAGGCCACAGGCTAAATGTTATGGTGGCTTCCCGTTTCATTTTTCCATTTCTGGCCAACTTGGTTTCAAAATCTTAATCTTACCTTTCATACACTAACAAGTCCAACACATTATTCAAATCTGTATGAGGTGATAAGAGATGTCGCGTTCTGCGTTTATGAATTTCTAAAGCACTTTTTTACATTTCTGTATAGTTCGTACTCATCTGATTGAAGGTTGTAAACAGAGAAAGAGTTGAAAAGGTTGCACAGATTTTAAAGTGCTCTGACACAAACGTATTTATATCCTTTATACATTAAATAGAGTTGACTTGTACTCTCTGTGTCTAAGCTTTTAACATACTGTGTTATACAATGCTACACGACTACGCTTCGCATGTAACCTCGTATGGATTCATCCATATTTTATCACTGGGTCTATGAATTGTGGGGGGTTGTGTATAACCTCTCACAAACAAGGACACTCCACATTAACGTCTCATCAGTTTAATCTAAGGCCTTCATATAATAAGTGAAAAACACTGACGCCTTGTTGAAGCGAGTTCGTCCACTTATTAACCTCAGGACTTAACAAATGACAGCGGGGGTCGCATGTATCAGCCTTTCAGAGGACCACCCTGTAATTGACCTCTGATAGATGGTGAGCTTGCAGGGAACCCTCCAATCGGCATATTGATTTCTAATAGATGAGCTCATACTCAGGTTGACACGGGTAGCTACCTATTAGCCTACCTATTAGCTTATTAGCTATTGAACGATATGATGGAGGTCACACTGTCTCCCACCAGTATAAGTGGCTTGACTAGACACATTGCAGTTCTCTCTATGCTAAAGTAGGCTACTATAACTGCTTCATATTTTCAAAAACTATATATTCATGCACATGCTTTGTTGTTATATTTAAAATTAAAAAGCTAAGTAGCTTAAAATGTATTTTTAGAAATAGCATCCCAATCATCAGCGTTTTTTTTGTTTTTTCACTTCACTTTACATTTGCAGAAGTGTTTCCCTGACCTGACCTTGCAACACAATGACCCTGTTTACTGTCAACTATAGTGAACAGGGCCATCTTTGCAGAACAACTATTTGCATGGGAACATATGAGATCTGAGTGAAAGATCTTTTAAAACCAACCTTGTTTCTATAGGATTTCTATAGGTTTTTATTTGTCCATGTATCCACCTTTTGGGGGATATTTGTAAAGTCTTGGCTTAAATTTTGGTAATAATTCCCATGTTTCATCACAATCTGAGTGATATGGATTCAACTAGATATTTTCAACAAAAACTAATACAGGGAAAGGAAGGCCAAATTAAATTATGCAGGCCTGGCAGCAATCACATGACAAAACTGTACATTAAGAAACCATTCACAGCAATGGATATATATATATAGACCTACAATACACTGGATTTGAGCTTAACCTGCTTCTACCTCTCAGCCATTTCCCCCCTGACTTATTTATAACATAGTGACCCTGCAGTTGTTGCATTGCAAGGAAGTTGTGTACCTGCGTATGTATTCTTCTCTCCAGGACTGATCATTGCTTGGTGCAGACCTACTGAGAAGCAGCTTGAATCTGGCAGCATATAAAGGTCTGGGAAATACACCACCTTCTGCTGCTCTGAACCTATGTTGTGAAGCATCACCACTGGATTGATATAAAATCTTCAATTTCATCAATAACCTTCTGCATCGCCGTTGGAGGATGAAGCAGTAAAGAGCGTTGGCTGCATGCGTTTCCATTTTTCATTGTCATAAATACATTTTTCATACCGTCCACAGTGGATGAGCTACTCTTCCTCTGTGCCATGCCCATAAAGCTCTGACTGAAGTCAGCTGGAAAAGAATTGCCTAGAAAGCCTTGATGGCACCTGCAGCCTGATGTGCCCAGCACTTGTCACAGGACGAAGGTTTGTACTGTCACATCAGGAGAATGAAAAGCTGCTGCCTCCTTTAATATTCTCTCTCGAGCAGGTTTACATGAACAGTGAAGTGATGTGTGAAGCTCTGCCCATTGTTTCATTTCCATTTATAACATCTGCCCAAACGCAGCAGCCTGAGGATCAAACAAGCTTTTGTCTGCAGATGATCCAGATCCAGTTCTGCCTAATTCAGAAATCAACCCCCTTTCAGACTGAACCACAGGGTCCGCACTCAGATTCCTGCTCTGCACAGATGTGCAAATGATCCCAACCACCCCCCCAGAGCACTGCACTGTTTGGCGCAAAGGATGGGGACCTGCAGAATTGCGCAAATGTGCATGGCTCTCAATGCGCCTGGATCATCTTACCCTCTGCAAGGATTACCATCTCCAAAAGGGGAATTTTGCGCATGTTTGTCCCACAACTTCCACATTGAACGCCTATAAAAGGTGCGAGCGTGGTTATCTGGACGTGCTCTGCATCCCTAATCATTATCCCTCTGGATATAAGCGAGCCAGGCGGTCACACTTAAACATGCAGGAGAACAGGGGAGGAGGGTGGGAGTGAAGGGGAAAAAAGGAAGGGGAAAAACAGCCCCTGGGGCGAGGAGAAGCAGCCTCTCTGGAGTCCGAACCGGTTGCTGATTTTCAATGAAAAACAAATGACAAACACTTCTTCCGCCGCACCCAGCGGCTTTCAAACCAATGACCGTTCCTCCAAATCACAGGAGGAGAAGGCGCAGTGTGGAGAGCGTGGCGAGGAGGGATGATGCGAGGAAACATCGCATCCAAACCCTCCGGACGCACGGAGCTTTCCAGTCTCCACTCCAGGCTGCACGAGGCGCCTCTGCCCCCACGTCCCATCTCTCTCTCTTCCATCCCGTCCCCCTCCCTCCAAAAACTCCCGAATTTGTCAACGCAAAGACCCCCCCATTCACCCTCAATACCCACCGCACCCGGAGAGCTGCAGAGTGTCCTACCTTTGTATCCGGAGTGTCCACAATCCGGAGGCGTAAAAGCAGCACTATTGCACTACAGCTCCACTGCAAGAAGTAAGAAGCAGAAGAGGAGGAGGAGGAGGAGAAGGAGGAGGAGGAGGAGGAGTAGAGGTACGCCAGTAGTGGGGAATGGTAATGGAGACGCAGGGAGCTCTTATACGCGGCGTATCCAGCGAGCGAGACGCGCAGGAGGAGGGGTGAGGAGTCCGGATTCCCATGCACCGGCAGCTTTTCTCTGTTTATTTGTTGCCGTTTCCCTGTTGGTGCCGACTCCTCGTTTCCACGCAGCGGGACCGGAGCGACCTGTATGATCGGGTGACCGGAGCGCAGCACCGCTTCATCAGCAAACCCGCACGAGTTGGGACGAGGCGCGCAGGACGGCGGCGGACTTCTTCCTCATTCTTCCCCTTCTTCCTCACCACGTTCCCCCCTCTGTGGCTCCGGGTGAGCGCAGGGGGGAGAGAGAGAGAGAGAGAGAGAGAGAGAGAGGGGAGGAGGGAGATGAGAGTGTGAGAGTTAGAGTGAGAGAGAGTGTGTGTGAGTGTGTGTGTGTGAGAGCAGGTCTCTCCTTCGTCTGTTCCCTCACACACCGACTGAGGATCAGCTCTCCCTCTCTCTCTCACTCTCTGTGTGTGCCTCTCACCCCCCCCCGTCAGTCTCTGCCTCGCTCTACACACACACACACACACACACACACACACATTGGCTTCACCCCCTCTTGCGGATTAATATCAACGTCCCATTGAAAATAAATCAACACCCCCTCTCTCTCCCTGTCCCTCCCTCTCTGTGCTCATGATGAGACATGAACAAGTTGGATTATGTTCGAAAGTCAAAGTGGTATTTATTGCACATTTAGCCTTTTCATTGATCTGATTGGCTCTCAGGTAAATATATATTAACACCAAAAGATCAGAGGAAACTTGGAAAATACAAATCCGATCAATCAAAGTCAAGCTTTGTGAAGGAGAGAGGTATTAAACCAGATAAGACGTAAAGAAGAAGACAGAGAAGATGAGGAATAGTTACGCTGCCCTTATTGTCAAAAGCTTATACGTGTATATGTGGCACCTCTTGTTCATCCTGAGATATATCTATTCGTTTTGTGTCTGTCACAACATGCCCACTCAACCACCCTGAACTTTCCACACACGTTCCTGCTGAGTTCTTACATGGACTCATTTAAACATTTTCCAGAATTTGAGGCTGACAGGAAAAGTTCCAGAAAATGCTCAGAGCAACTGACTCAGACATTTGCGTTCTCACAAACAGCCCCTCCAGTATATTTCCCGAAACATGTGGCAGCATGACTGAGATCAGCTTGGGAACGTATAGGCTCAGTTTAATTACAACATCTAACATAAACGTCACGTATTACTGTTGACAGATCAGTTCTGCTGCATTGACATGGTTACAAAAGCCCTTGTTTTTCAATGTGGGGCCCCAGACGTCTTAAATGAAAACATATCAGGGAAATCAATCTGTTTTTTAGTTTTTCTAAAACTCTGCATATGGCCCATGAAAACCTTCAGCTGAAATACCTCCAGACAAACGCAGCACTTAGACCTTGTAAAAAGCAGGTTACTATAATAAAATTTACAGTTTGTAAAGCTACTCAACTAAACCACAGAAAAACACTGAGCACAACCTCCAATATTTAGACACAGAAAATATATAAAAGAAACATTTGTACAAAGAGAGAGGAGCATGTTCAAAATGAAGTCTGAATAAAATGTGGAACAATCACTTTTAGAACCTCTGTGAAACTACTTCCTGTACAGAGGCAGCAGGATTACATGCAAACTGCAACCAGAGCCGTGTGAAATTTAAGCATTAACCTAAGTGGAACAGCACCACCTCATCCATTACCATATCTTCATCCATACTTTTGGAGGATTTACTGCAGCAGCACTTCTAATTCAAGTTTTCTGAGAGGAGGCAGAGACGGAAACACAGAGTGAAGCAGATAGAAAGAAGAAAGTAAGAAAACATCGTTTGTTGACGGCTGTGTTGTTGAGGCCGACAGTAACGCAGTAGCAGTTCATGAGAAGAGTACACTAGTGTACAACACTCTTCACTGGAGATAAAACAAACAAACTAAAGGGCACCATATGTACAAGGTGGTAACCACATTCTTTTCCACTTTAAGATTCAAGATTAAACTGGACTTTAATCATTTATATTTCTTATCAAACGAAAACAAATACCTTCAAAACATTCATATAGACTTTATATTTAAAAAGTATTCACTTAGAATATAACATTTTGTTTGGGTTGTTGGTCTGCTTCTTTTGCATCAGGTTAGATTTGGACATGACCTGACTTTGTGTAACTCTTGCAGTGAGCCGTCATGAGACAAGATTCAATTTTACCGGTTCCAGGTATCAAACAAATGACTGAACATATGTTGGCCAATGAGACTTATCATCATTTACAATGTGAGTCTGGTTTTTAACACAAAGGTCATAGCTGTCAGAATCCAGATTACTCACAACAGGAATGAGGATCGAGATGCAGACACTGAAATTCACCTGCAGAGTAAAGAGCAGCTTGCTGATGTTTACAAATAGCTGGAAAAAAAGATTTAAAAAAAAGAAGTGCAACTGGACATAGAGATATGGTTTTTAGTAAAGCAGCATGGTGAATTTTGCAAATCCTGTCTGAAACTCAGCCTCTGTATTATGTTCATGGGGGTTAACTGCAAATGAGGAGCAGCTGGGTGAGCAGGTAACTGGGTCAGATGATCGCTGAAGGAGAAAACACAGTGAGGGCAACTAGGAGGATTTAGACTTTTATTTTAGAGTAGAAGCATCGCAGTGGGACATTACCAGGGCTACCCAAGAGAAATGATGTGCCAGGCTGATCATGATGAAAATGGCAAAACGTTTCATAATCTGGGGTGTCAGCCTGGAAAAAGGTAGCAGATGGACAGCCCTTATCAGCTGCTGGAGGTTGTAACAGGGAGCATCGGTACAGGGAAAGTATAGTCAAGTGGATTTCCTGAGCACAGATGATATGGACGACATTGGTTAGGAATAGGTCGTGAACTCTGTAGGAGCAGCTACTCAGGTGGCAAACAGGAGGATCACTGGAGCAGTAACCCCAGGAGAGAGTCTGACCTGGGACTGGATGTCGGGGAGTTTGAGGAGACTCCACGGGGAGCAGGTCGACAATGACAGGATAGTGACTGGGGCAAAGATTTAAAGGAGAGTCTGACATCGGCAACAATCGAGTGGCAACGACGAAAAGGCAGGGTCTTTAGATTGAGGGTGTGCGGAGTTGAAACAGAAGCAAGCTTTGGGGATCAAAATGGCAGCAATATTGACACCGGATAAAACTCTACAGATCCAAGAAAAAAAAAGGCTCAGGCAGTGAAAGTGAAAAACAAGCTCTCAGAAAGACACAGGCTCGGAGGACGATAATAGCCCCTGCCGATAAACAGAGACAGAAAAAGACAGATCAGGAATGATGGGAAGTCAAGCTACAGAAACACTAATAGATCAGGAGATAGAGGGAAGGTTACAAGATTGAAGAAACCAGCTGTCTGACGAGAGTGTGTGTGTGTGTGTGTGTGTGTGTGTGTGTGTGTGGGTTGCATTCACAACAAAACACCTGGATAGCTGTGCAGCAGAGGGACGGATGAGGTGGCTGAACAGCTGCTCGTTGAGGTTAGAGAGGCTGATGTAAGGCCAGCAGAGGGGACTGTAGCAAGGACCCGACGAGGGCCCTAGAAACCATAACAAGCACTCTTGGATCTATAGGGGCCATTAGCTGAAATCCCCAAGCTATGATACCAGGATTTCTGCCTGTGGGTCCAGATGGTTCTCTGGTTGATTTGATGAAGGCCTGTCAGCGTAACGCTGTTGGATGGGAGCAACACTGGGAGTTAGACACAAAGGTTTAAGGGACGAGGGGACAGAACGACTGCACAGAGGCAAGTGGGCAGTGATTTGATCAATAATAAAGGCAAATTATTAAACTGTTTATTGTAGCATGTAAATAGAGAATATTACTGGGCCATGTATTTACCCTTGTAGTAAACCAAGGTTATATCTACAGTACATACAATCTGAGATGTACATTAATGAAATCCTATTTCCCTTCTTGGTTTGGCCTCATGTGTCCGTCAGACAAGTGCCACACGAGTAGGATTTGCTCTTTTACAAAGAGCATTTATCAGTGTTGTGTTGCTACATTCTAAAACAGTGTGAAAACACAGTGAGAGCACAGAGGGAGCTCATGTATTGATTTGAGACCATTTACCCAAGAAAAACATTATTTTTCAACACCAGTTGAAAACAACAACAGAGAAATTATTCGTCGTATGTTTCTTTTTACTGATTTGTCAAGAACTGGACAAGTATTGAATTTTAATTTCAATCAACCATTTGACCACAGATTTAAAACAATGTAAAATCTCATTCCAATTGTTTCCAGTCACTAGAATTTAGTGATAATGTAAATGGATATTTCCAATTATATTTAATGACTGCAACTAAATAATACTATATATGAACTAGCCTCATCGGTTTCATAAGAACAAACGTATTTCGATAAAATTGGATATAAATAGAGAGGAAGAGAAGAGGAAACAAGAGGAGAGAAGTTGAGAGGAAGAGGGGAGAAGAAGAGGAGACAAGAGGAGAGGAGATTAGAGCCCTCTGCAGATGTGAAGTTGACATGTAAGAGCTTCAGCCAGTTCATTCATAATTCACTGGAGCTGCACCCCGGGGTGCCTCCTTAGAGCGCAGCCATTCTCACAGCTGTCAATCAAATAACCCTGCTAACACTGTACGAGCCGAGCCAAAGCTCTGCCGGTGACACAAGCTAAACATATATGGATTGAAACGGAGTGAGATGATGCAACTGGAAGACAGAAGGTCAAACACTGTGCAAGGAGACAAAACAGAGACAACAAAACCTTTTGAGCTGCAAATTCCCATTTATCAAGTCTGTTTTGTTCTGAATATGTTCCCTGCCTTACATAAAGGAGCGTGTTTGTGCAGCTGTTTTGCAGAGAAACTCCATAAAGTTGGAATGAGACAAATCATTAGAGATTGCACTTGAAGTTTCAGAGTGAATCTTCTTATTACTGGGTAACACGGGGCTGAGGCGGAGAAGCAGGATGCATCTCTGCAGGGACGCATTCTATTAGACTGTCACCATAATTATGATAATAGTAGACTGCTGTTTTGTAAGAGGATAATTTACATTTTAGTGTAATTTGAATGTGGCAGGGTAAAATATGGGAAAGACCTTCTGCTAAAGATGACAATTTATCATACACACACACACACACACACACACACACA